TCATCCAAAAAGTGTTGACTGACGATGGTGAGGTCTGCTCACCAGTTGTGTGTGAAATAAGTGAATTAATATCTGAGGAGGTCATATCTCTGGGCCGGTACTTTGACCTTAAAGGTCAAATGGATCCACTGTATTTTGGAGTATAGCTCTATCACTGACTGAATATCAGTCTTTAAAAATTCTTCCTTATTCAGTCTATGACCTTGTCTCGTCAGATCTTCAGCAACGTCTATCTCCTTCTTTATCATCAGGGGATCAACTATCAATAGACACTTTTCTCTGTCACTTCCTTTTCCTTTCGGCTTTGTCCCTTTTTTAGGGGTTGCCACAGCGAATCACTGTTTTCCATCTCTCCCTGTTCTCTGCATCTTCTACTCTGACTCCAACTATCTGCATGTCCTCCCTCACTGCATCCATAAATCTCCTCTTTGTCTCCTACCTTGTAGCTCCATCTCCATCTAACATTCTTCTACCGATGTATCCGCTGTCCTTCCTCCGCACATGTCCAAAACACTCTGTCACTAAAGTATTAAAATCTCTGTCCTTTATCACCCTAACCTGGTGCACAATTAGCTCCGTCTGTCTGTCCTGACGTCAGTTCTTTGCTGTGTCTAATATCCTTCCTCTCAGAACACGTCACGGTGCCTGACTCAGCTCTCTGACTCTTCTGATTATTTTTAACTTAATTTTTTTCTTTATCCAGAGAAAACGTCTTCTTGCCAAATCCTTTTTTCCCTTTATTTTTTACCTGAAAGCCGTGTCTTGTGTTTTTCCCTCATTTGATTCCCTCCTCCCCCAGCGCTTCTCCACCTTCACCTTTTCTAAAGTGGTCCAGAATGATCCACAGTGACATATTCAGCCTCAGCCCCCCCCCCCCCCCCCCCCCCCACTCCACTCCCTCCACTGACGTGTGTTTAGCAGGAATCCCCTCTTGGCTGTCATTCACATCGTTAGCCAGCCGTTAGCTGTGGTCTGGCAGCGTGGCCTGTGACATTTCTTTTTTGTCAGAGCTGTTGCGCCATAACACGCTGAGCAGTGGATTTACTGCCAGAGACTCTTTGTAGGACGGCCAGGCTAATGGAGACGAGGCCAGCGCTGGAAAATACCCTGGGCTCTGCTGGAAAACGCCTCGGACTCTCCAGGGAACGGGGAAGTGGAGTGAACGCTGGCCCCGCTCACGTTACGTGCTGGAGTGTGTGTACGATGCATGGTTAGGTTTATGTATGTTATGAATGTGTGTGTGTGTGTGTGTGTGTGTGTGGAGAGGATGTGAGTTGTGCAGAGAAATGAAGTACATGTCAAACTCCTCCCGGTGTTTGGGCCTGGTTGCCACTGGCAACAGTAAAAACATGCTTTTTTTTTTTCTTCTTCCTCGGTCGGTTCTTTCAGCGTGTCTTGGTCACATGCTGAGGAGGGAGCAGAGTTGTGTGTATGAGTTTATGGAAATATACATTAACCTCACAGTGTGGTAATCCATCCTCCATGACACAGTCAGAGCCATGAGCTCATCTGGAGCTGTTTTTGACACTTCTCTGTCAGGAATGACGATGATGAAATGATGATTGGTGAACTCCAGAGACCACAAGAGACCACTGGGGGCCTTGGATGGAAGTGATGGTGAGCCCACTGGGGGCCTTGGATGGAAGTGATGAACAGCGAGGTCTGAAGGACGTGAGCTGTGACACTGACATCGGGGCTAATAACTCACTGGCGTTGCTCTGCAGACGAGACAACATTGGTTCCCTTATCTGGTTGGCCGGATGTGTCTGTGGACGTGACTGGTTCACTGATGGGTGTTTCATTCCCAAACCGCCGACTTTACACAGCAACCAATCAGATGCGAGAGATTGAGATATGATCTCAGGTAATCAGTAACGAGCTCCGCTCACGTGTCGTCAGTGTCAGCCTCCCTGAACCACAGTTGTGTTTGCTCCAGTAATTGAAGGAGTCAGATGTTCAGGTTTGTTAGTCCAGGTGAAGATCAAAGCTGGGAACCACCAGTCCAATTAAACATTTACTTTTGTACAGGACGCAGCAGTGAGGACACAGTGAAAGACGAGCGACCAACATCACATCCTGGAGACAGAGGAGAGTCAGAACAAGGCTTTAATAATAACTCTGTGTTTTCATTGATAACAATAGTCTTATTAATTAAAACATTTGGGAACCACTGGTGTAACAGCATTAACCACTCCACCACTGGACTGACCCTCACTGTAGCTGCAGTTAAGAAACTATTTTTAGTTATTTTTATTGAACATAAACTAATTTGGGAAAATGCCAGAGATGAAGCCAAAGTCACTTTTTTACTTCCTCATGAAACATCTAAACATTGGTGGAGGAAGAACAGAGAAGTTTTCTGGAACCGAGGCTTTAATTTCTACATCATGTGAAACAGGGAGTTGGGGGGTGGTGGTGGTTGGGGGGCAGAAACGGCCGCTGGCAGAAAATCAAGAAGCTATTAACTTCAAATATCAACTGTCCGTGGAGGCATTTGGTTTTGCTTTAAGTCAGAAAGCAGCAGGACGGAGGTTCTCAGGGAATGGAAAGTGAAACGTTACACACGTGTCCACCTGGGAACGCTGCTGTGGAAAACAAAGACTTACCCTCACTGTGCAGTATCACTCTCTTCACCGTGGACTCTGACCAGGCACATGTGTCAGAGCAGGTTACTGGAGAAAACTGGGATTTTACACATTTGCTCTGAGGGAAAAAAACATTTTTAAGACCAATTTTGTCAACAAAGTTTGCTAACATTTAGGTGTGTTGGCTTTTGACTATATTTATGTTCAAATGTTTACTTTTTTTAATCTAAAATGTTATCTTAGCACATCAGAGGGAAAGCTAATGTGGCTAACGGTTTATAGATAAAATCAAACACAAAGTCAAGATGGTTTGATCAGGTTCTGAGGACGGAGACGGTGGAGCTAGTGGATGGAGGACGTTGATGTTTCCATTGATGACCTTTATCAATGACCTCCAACCCCTCTAACCCTTCAAACAAGCCATAATTCAGCTGAAAATTTAACCCTAAACTCCTGCTGTTTCCCTCAGTGATTTCTATGATCTATAGAGAGTGAACACAGTGATTGACTGCAGAGACTCATGGGAGTGACAATGTGGGAAAAAGTCAATAAAAGGTGAATATTCAGTTTTTATAACAAAGGTTTAAAATAATCTGTGTAAAAACGATTTCAGTCTTTAGATCCTGTCTCAGGTCCTGGTCTTAGTCCCTGACGCTGGGTGTCCTTAGGTGTGTCTGCAGGAAAAGGATGATCATCCACTGTCACGCAGGGAGGTCAGAGACACAGCTGTGGTACAGGTCAAGGTCAAGGTCAGGGTTAGAGGTCACTGACCAGGGGCCTGAAGGAAGGTGGAGGCTCACCACAAACAGAACTACAGCTGTGCACTGACCAGGTGCTGCTGTTGGATAGCAGAGGTTTTTATTTCATTTTTTCAAGTCCACTGGTCTCGTCATCATCACTGTTTGCATCTTCGGCAAACTAATTTTACATGCATTATTGCCCCCTGCAGGGCTGGAGTATGTGCAACAGTGAAATCACTGTTATCTTTTTAAATGCTTTTTTTCTGTACACAGTTAATAAAAAAAAGAAAATTGAATGAAAAACATATGCATAAAAATCCCAGCCCCCATTTTTTTTAACCAGAATGTATTGCAGTAGCTGCAGTAGTAGTCTTGGGCCGTCAGGCTGTCAATGTACGCAGAAATCATCAAGATAAATTAACATAAAGTCGTCAGGCGTTAACGTGAGTCACTGACTGTCTGACTGACAGAGAAAATTCATTCTCTGACGGATCAGACCTTTCAGGGTAAAACATAATAAACCAGTGGTGACTAAAGACTTCTTCACACCATAAGTGTCAGAGTTCCTTCTTTATGATGGTCTGATGCTTTTACACCAGGCCAAAACCCAGTGTGTTAACAGCAAATGAGCGACAAGACGTTCTATGAGGGTTCTACGACTGTTCGTTCTTATACTCCAATAATCCCCACACGTCAGACTGCAGTGTTTTCTCTCTCTGGGTGATCTGTGCATCACACACATTTATATATGCTGAAACATTCCGTCTCTGGCGCGCTCGCTGGGCTTCTCTCGACCTGGGCCGTCTCATACATGACATCCAATAATCCCGCTGAAACACTCCTCGTGTGGAATGTGCTCTCTGTGTGTAGCTTGGATCCCGACTTGACAACATGATGTAGGGCGCCGCGGCACTGCCAGATTTAGGATGTTAAAAATGAAAGCAGTCGTTTTTAGGGTTTCTCAGACGGAGTGGCGGTCAGTGTTTGGGTGGTAGCAGGAAGAGAAGATCTTTGGAGGGATTCAACTCCTCACTCTCATTGTTTTTGTTTTATCTGAACCAATACTTCTCAAAGTTTTGAAGCTGATGCAGCACCAGTATCAAACTGGAGGTTCATAAATTCAGGAAAACAACCACGAAAGCCCGGCAGCGAGGACCCGTCCCAGAGAAAAAATAATTGATGTTGGGGTTTGGGTCTGGTTTTGAACTGACTGGTCTGGACACTGACTAATTTACATGAACTGCATCTGGCTCCTGGAAGAACCAGGCTTTTAAAAGGGAATGCCTGTTGGGTTCACCCAGGGTCAGATACCTTTCTCTGGGATTTAAGGTAGGATTTAGACCAGACCAAAGACCAGTCCCTAGAGGGTTCTGGTTCTTCTGGTTCTTGGCTGGAGGACTGGTCTGAAGCTCTGCCTCTTCATGGCTGTGAAAGCAACACAGATCAGGCCAAACAACGTTGTGTACTGATTAAATACCTGTAGCTGTATGGCACAATATGATTTCATTCTTAAAGTCTACAGTCACTACTACGGACTACAGAATTATATTTATGATTTAATAACTATAGTCTAATGACTTGTGATTTACCAGCACCCCTTATGGCCATCTACTGGTATATATTGGGCATCCCTGCCTTAAACTAACAAAGGAATATTACAAAAATCTGTAATCAACAGGCTGCCCAACAGCCGCTAAGCATGTAGTTCCTCTGGGGTTTGAACCCAAGACCTTTCATGTGTAAGGCATGATAACTGTGACACTATGGGACCACGGTGTGGAGCAGTGGTTGAGGAGAGGCTGTGATAGGTCTCAGCAGAGTTCGGGAAGTTCAGGGATTCTTCACGGCCTTAGCAGGATTTGAACCAGCCATCCTCCCAGAGCGACCTGCCCTGTAAAACCTTTAAAACCTTTCAACTTTGATTTCACACTTTTTCAAATTTGTTTTTCCTTGTGTTTCTGCTTTTTCACCAGGTTTTTTAAAGAACCTAAAGTTTTCCCCAATGTTGGATCATCGATGGAACCAACGTTTTAACGTAAAGACAAGAGAAGTGAGTACGAGTGTGTTTTCATCTTTCATTTAAAGCAGACTTATGTGGCCCACGGCTCCAGTAATGGCTCTGCTTTTGGCCCATGGAGTCTGGGATTATTAAAACCTGGACAGACCGGCTGTTGTTGGACCTGGTACTCTGTGTAACTTCAACCTCAGGCAGGACCAAAACACGTGTGGGAAACAATGCACGAACCTGCCAACTCCCATCAGTACTGGTTATGGTAAACATGATATGTACATTTGTCAGTAATTATACTTCAGTGTTGGTAAAACACAGACGTTTACTGTAAAAACTCCACTGTGTAACATTTAGGAGGGAGTTATGGCAGAAATCTAATACACCATCATAATTATGTTTGTCTAAGTGTATAATGGCTTTCAACTAAAACTCCAATGTGGTAATAATCCTTTTATATTTACCCCCCACCAAAAACAAAAAAAACAAAACTAGCAGAGTTGGTGTTTTACTATTTAAAGATGTGACCATTACAGTAGTAGGAGGGGTGAGCAGAGGAGACTTGCAGTTCATGGGCCTAACTATAGATGGCAGTCATTGTTATTCACTGGCAGATCAAGTCAGTCAGATATTTAAATTAGACCAATTATAATCCTCTATCTCTGGGCCCGTACACGATGAAGATCAGTGAATTAAAATTTGTATTTAGAATTAAAAATTTGTCACAAACAGTACAGTGAACCGTGCGTATAAATACAGATCACAGACACAGGAGTCAATCTAATCCTGTGTCTGTTCTCCTGTGACGTTCCAGCGGTCAGCCCCGAGAGCAGGAATCCAGTTGGAAGTCTGGTTAGAGGTTTTCCACAATGGCTGGGTTCTCAGGAATCTAAGACGGAGGAAGAAATGTCTGCAGCCAGGCTTGTCAACAAATCATCCTGTCTGTTCTGCCATGTTTCTCCCAGTCATCCTTTCTCCTCTCTGTGGTCTGGAGCCGACAACAGCCTGGTCAGGTGTGAGGGCAACGAGTCCAAGACTGCATGACCCAGTTCAGCAAATGGAGCAAAACCCATTACTGCACATTTGCATCTGTGCAAACCTGGAAACATGTATGTTGAAGAGAACATTTTATCTGTTTTACCCAAAAATACTGTATATTTTGTCACTTCCACAAAACAAATTTATTTAAAAGGAATTGGAATAAACCACAAGAAGTAAAATAATTATCCCAATCTTTTATTATTTTAAGTGGGTCACTTCCTGCTTCTATACTTCCAGGTCATGTGATGTCACTTCCTCCCACAACCCCACATGTGCAACAACAAACATTTGATGTGGAAAGGACAACACCAGGTTCTACTCCTGTGACTGGTGAGTACTTGTTGTTTTGTTTTGTTTTAAATTTAGCATCCAGACCAATCACTGGATGGAGTAAAAGTTCTCTAACTTATAGAGGGTTTTCTAAGGTGTTTGTGGTGGAACATTTCATTGAAAGAAAAAGTAACTCAGGTTGATTATGTAATGTCTTCACCTCTGATGTTACACTGAGTGTTTCCCAGACTAGTTTATGACACAGACCAGATCCTGGAGGTTAATGTTTTCTGATGATAAAAACCTGACAAAATAAAATGATATGGCTGATATTAAAACAAATGCATAAAAGTCACCTAAACATGAACAGCACTTATTCTGTTTGTCGAGTCACATGACAGCATGAAAATATGCTTAATCCCATTAGCACGTTGTTATTTTTATTTTTATGGCCATGGAACGGGTTGGCACCTTTAGGTTGGGTACCATTATCAGCCATAAATGAATTCTATTGGTCATAAATACATGTTAGAAGCAAAGTTGATGTTGATGTGAAATATATTTTATTTCCCACCCAAGTGTTAAGAATAATCTTCAAATACAATTGAGCACTGATGGAGCAGCAGTCCACCTGGGCTACAACTGCAGCCCATATGAACTGTAGGGCAGTCAGTGCTGTGTAAATGGAGCAGTAAAATAATCAATACCTCAGCAGCTCTGCACCAATCACATTTAAACTGCTGTGATTTCTGTCAGCACCACTCAGTAACCTGCTGACTTTTTTGGGGGGAATTCTGAAGCCTGACTGTAAAAACATGGCAAATCCAGTTCACCTCCATGATTTAGTAGCTCTGCCCAGCCGGTTGAACATTCCTCTGTGGCTCTGTTCCCGCTCTTTAAATGTGCTGTAGGCGCCTTGGACTATTACACTGAATCTAAGAGTCACGCTCCAGCAGACCACCTCCATGATAAATACGTTAACCATTTCCTTCGGTTCCCCCAAGTCCTCCAGTATCCAGTCCAGTATTTCACGACCCATATATCACATTTCCAGTTGGACCTCGTCTGCTGGCTCTGCAGTTTGAAGGTTTTAATTTGACGGACAGGTTGTATTGTTGGTTGGTGAGGCAGGAGAAATGTCGGACCCTGGACTTATGGGTGGCACGTTTCAGTATTTAGGCTTCATTTTGGAAAGTGTGTAGATGTAACAGTTGATGTTGAGAGAAGCTGACACCGACTCTGATCACTGTCTGCACCAACAACCTCTCATTAGAACAGAAAATTATCCGCTTGTTGATTTTTCTTTTTTTTTCCCTCCTTGTTTTCGTCCTTTCTTAACATTTGCTGGAAAATTCTTTGTGGTTTATTTTCAACCAAATGTGCGGTCCTGCCAAAGGTTAAAGAAAAATTCAATTTCTGAAAATGTTGTAAAAACCATGGCTGTATTTCACGGCTAATAGTCTAGACAGGGATTTAATCTGGGAATATCTGGCTAATCTGATCCATAAACCATGTAATAAATCACTTTTCTTTCACCGTGGACTCTGATCAAATATGTTAATTTGTCTAATTACTACTTAAAATATGCAGCAAGATGCAACAAAGGCCAAACCTCAGTGGTTCTGTGTGAAACCCCTGGTCCACCGAGGTCTGTCAGGTTTGGGCTGATGTTTCCCCTTCTTGCTCAGACAGCCTGGTATTTGCCCCGAAGCTGCTCCCACTTTCTTCCGTCCTGACTTGGACCAGGTCTGAGGTTGGTTGGGTTCTGCTGCTCTCTCTTCCAGGCCTTGAAGCCAAATATTTTCCCCTCAATAGGTTTCCACTGACAGGCTGTGGGAACCAGCGAGAGGAGAAAAACTCTCACGTCTGGCTGCTCTATACTGCTGGTAGTGTGTGTGTGAGACTGTGTGTGTGTTTGTAGGAATGCAGAATTGTTAGAGGTATTCTTGCGGCAGAACAGCAGGGTAAGGACGGGTCAGAGGGTTAGCGTTGGTTATGAAGTTGTATAAAGTATTAACAAAGTCTCGACAGGTCGTCAGCAGTGAGTGTGTGTGCGCGTGTGTGCGCCTGCGTGTGTGTGCGTGTGTGTGTACGGTCCCTGTGATGAGACCTACTGTACTCTAAGCTGTGCCAACAAACACTGGCACGGTCTGTGTTCCAGCTCTGGTTTCATGTGGAACCTCACTGCTCTGGTGAACCCGTTTGTTTTGCACCAGTAGAAGTTGAACCAAAGTTCCTCTGCTGACATCATCAGAGACGGGCCTCGGCCTGACCTGATCGTCCGCCGGTTCCCTTGAAAAATATTAACATAATAATATATTTTAAAATGGTTACAACTGCAAAGAAAAGCTTTAATGCTCCACAAAACAATTAATGTTTAATGAAATATATATTTATATAGACATACTATGTACATATGTACTGTATGTATATTATATATATTTCCTACTATGACATACTTATATGTAGATATATTTGTATATATGTAAGTTTGAAAAACAAACTTTTCTGACTCAGTTGGAATTAAAATACTAAATCAATGACCTCAGACATCATCATTATTATTATTAATAACTTTGCGTTAGACTAAAGAAAGGTCAAGGTTAAAATCCCTGCCTTCAACCAGCAGCCGCTCTGATTGGCTGCAGTAATAATATTGTGTTGTTCTGATGTGCTGTTTCAGGGACATGGTGTTGATGAACAGCAGAGCAGAGGAACGACTAATTGCCTCCATAATGTGAAGTTAAGCCAAAATCATTAGCCTGATAACAAGTTAGTCAAAGAGCTCTACAGTGCACAGCTAATCACCTTCAATCAGCACATCATTCGCAGACACTTTAAGGAGGCTTCGCCCGCCAGCATTCTCTGGCAAATGAGGGCATTTGGACCTGATCTGTGAAGAGTTGAGGAGTTTTAAGCAGTTTTTTTTATTGTCCTAATTAAAATCAGAATCTGACTGAAACATTTAATAATATTTTAGACTTTTTTTGGCACAACTTTGTATTTTTTTAGCTCTTGATCATAACATTTGGAAATCTGCAAAATGTTGGTTATTTTAGTGGGCTGCTGATATTTTCTTTATTTTAATTATTCTTGCAATCTTTATTCATTCTTATGTTAATGGTTAAACACTAAGTTTGTAGCTAAATGTTGCAGCTTTGTTGTTCCAGTAGTTAACTTTGTATGAGTTAACTAACTGTTAACTGTTTTCTTCCATTTACTTTATGTTTGGACTTTTTTTCTGTCTGACTTGTAGCTATGGCTTTAGCTCGTCCACCTGTGTCCATCTGTTGGGATTATTAGAACAGGAAGCCACAACACGCACTGCACCAGGACAAAAAAAGTTCACAGTGTCAAAGAGTGACAGAACTATTCCAGTGAAGCCATGAAACACAAAGTGAAGGCACCTTCCCTGAGTGGCAGCTAATGTGTGTTTAGCGTGTGAAGTTAGCTTAGAGGCAAAAGTGAAGTGTCGACAACCGGTTCTTACTGCAACATTTCAAGCAACAGATTTGTGTTCAGACAGTTTTCACTCTTAAAATGAGTCAGTTTATAATAATTATTTCTCCTCACTCTGTAATTTCACCTCAGTGCGACGCTGCGATTACAGGTTGTAACAGAGCTGTGGTGCTGCTGATGGGACTTTAATGGAAGGCCGGCAGTTTGACGACAGTTTACACACCGACGTGAGATGTTATTAGCACTGACGCTTCTGATGTCATCAGCGTCTACTCTGTTATCTAACATTTCCTGTGTGTTCTGTGGCAACACCAACATTATCATAACTGACGAGGTCATTAGTGCCCCCGCAGTGACGACAGTGTCACTTCAAAAGAGTCGGAGCGCTGAGAGAACTTTTTTTTTTTTTTAAACCTCCTTCCTTCTTTGGAAATTGTGTGAATTTCTAAAATTTAGAATAAAGATCATAAAGATAATGAATCTTGTTTGCCACAAGGATGAAAACATGCTGAGGCAGCAGCTTCAAATGGGAACCTCAGAGACTGGACCTCAGGAAAAGACAGTTCTAAGCATAACAGATTTAGTATCAGCTCAACATCAGCGAAAAAACTCTCCCAGAGCAGACAGCAAATGATCTCCTTTTTCTTTCTTTTTGCTTCTCTTGGCTGCAGTCTTCAGGGTTTTACCACAGCGGATCGTCTGCCTCCATCGCACTCCTCCACTGTTCCACCAACCAGCTCCACACCCTCTTTCACGAGACACGACACAGAGTGTCTTTGCGCTCTTCGTCTCCAATATCATTTTGTCCATAATCTCCACTCTCTCTCCTCCAAGTGTCCAAACCTCACTCTCTGCCTTCTAACAAATCTTCCTGTTCTCTGACTGATGAAACCCTCACTGGTTTATCCAGGATCTGTACCTGCTGTCAAATTGGCTTCAATGACTTCAATGCATTCTTAGCATTGCCTTATATGGGATGGACTTTTCTCTGACTGAGACTAGTCCAGAGATGTGGACTATTCAGGACAGACATGGTGCAAAATTTCTGTGTGACTTCTGCTGTTGTTGTCCTGTGCAGCAGGTGTTGTAAATATTAGGTTACCAAACTAGTGACGTAAGAACCAACGAGAACATACCAACCTGCTTCACACACACTGACACCTGCAGCCTGATGTGTTACTGCCCAGTTAATCCATATAATTATATTCGCTGGTGACATGCTACTTTACTGTATGTGTAATATATGTAGTAAAACATCAGCCTGATTATGCACAGTAATTATATTTGGTGTAGAGTTGTGCAGAGAAATGCTGATTTCATGGCTCTGGACGAGTTGTGACTCATTATCAGCGCTCACTTCCTCACACCGTTTAATAAAGCTGCTGGCAGCTCGCCTGCATTTTTGCCTTTGTAGTTAATTGCAGCTGCTCTGCTTACTGCTCTTACGTACTGTATTTGTACAACTCAGAACAAAATAATTGTCGTGGCACATTTACAAGATCACTTTGTTCTTCCAGCACATGGATTGGCCTTCATTTACAAATAGTTGTCTCTTTTTTTTTTCACACTCAAGTGCATTGCCCAATACAATGGCATGTCTA